GTTCAAATAATATTCCTTGTTGACTGTTTGACCGGTTGAAAGGAATTCATAATGCACAACACCACGATAATCGAAGAAAACTGTCAACATGACCTTGATTTTTGAGCGACTTTGGCGCGATTTTTTTGGTCTCAGCTCTCTTTTGGCACGATATTCGCTCGATTGATCGGTTTTTTCGGGGTCCTAAGCATAGATCCAAGTCTTATCGCCAGTTTCATGACACCCTGGTAGTCGGAAAGCATCGTTTCACACACTTCAACTCGACGCCTTTTTTTCCAAAAAACTCAATGTTTTCGGTACCAGTTCAGATTTGACGCGCTTGAGGCTTAAAACAGCCTTAAAAATAGTATTGGCTGAGCCTTTCGATATGCCAACTTCATCAGCAAGGCCTCTAATTGTTAATCGACGATTTTTCAACACCAAATCTTTGATTTGTTGAACGTGAGCTTCGTCGGTGGAGGTAGATGGTCGCCCTGGACGCTCTTCGTCTTCGGCACGTTCACGGCCGGCTTGGAACTCACTATACCACTTGTAAAAATTTTTTGAGACATAGCCTCATCACCAAAGGCTTTCTGCACCATCCTCAACGTATCCGCAGCAGAAAATTGATTCCGTAAACAAAATTTAATGCAAATTCTTTGCTCAACAAATTTCGACATCGCAAAAAACGTATCTCAAACACTAATGTATATTTTGACATGGACTTTGACATAAATGTGTCTGACAGTACTACCAACCTACAAAAAAAAAATACTCCAAATCCTTCGACGCGCGCAGGTTAAACTCAAATGTCACCTTATTTTATGGGCACCTACATATATACCTGTACATCTACATATGTTTCTACAAAAACTTGCAAAGTCATTCAGCAAATTGAAATAACAGCCGTTCTATCACCGTTTAATGCTGACAACAGTATTAGCAAAGCCCAAAGGGCGTGGGTTTCTTGACGTCAAGAACATGCAAGCAAAAATAGAATTCAACCGTTAGACAAAATAAGGAAGCAAGGAAAGGAAGGCGCACAACCGCCTACAGGTAACAAAAGATTAGTGATTATTTGGTTAGGAGTGCGAGAAGTGGTGTGAAAAAGTTTTTAAAACAACGGATAAAATATGTAAATAATAAAATACGTAGTTACAATAAAGATTGTTGTTGTAATAAAAAAATAAATTTAAAGCGGTTTTATTATACCCTGAGAATAGTATATATCGGCAGGAAGTTTATAGAATCGAGCAGACAAAAATGCACATATTAATTTCGAATTTTTTGATGATACGTTATTTTGCATTTCGGGTGACGATATATAGAAATGTTGTTCACGTCCTTTCCTTAACAGGAAAATGCTTATTTATTAGCCACAGCAGCGCTACAACCTTCAAATCAATCCACTACAGCACATAGCTGTCATTCAAACTGCCTTATCTTTTTATACCCTTCTTTCATATAAAAAATACACCTGTAAAGGGTTTATATCTCCGGGGCAAGCGAAGTTAATGTTTTTATTTTTTTTTGTTTTTTTTTTTTTGAATATTCTTAGACCGTAAATTTTGAATAAGAATTACCTTTAATAAAAGTGCAATACAATCGTTAAAAATTTTTGTAATCGGGTTTAGTTAATGGCTTGAAGGCAGTCTTTATTGAACCTACTTACTCAATGAGCAGTATTTGGAAACGGTTTATTAATCGCATAAATTAGGACATATTAGCTGAGACGTACAACAATATTTAATAAAAAGAAATCGTTAAGGTCAGTTGTTGACAGTTTTTAGTTCGAAAGTTAGTCCAAAAATGTCYTCACTATATACTTACTTTTTAATTATGAGGAGAATCTTCTTTAATTTCGTATTATCAGTTATGAAAATCAAAGTTGTRGAAGCTTTAGTTCTATTCTGTTAGGCATTCCAAATCCCAGTTTTAGCTATACTTTCTAAGCTTATGCATACTGAGGAATTTGTAGGATGTCAACAAAGAAAAGTGAACTAAAGATTGTTAGCTAATTAGTTTTAAGGAGTCTTGTCTTTCAATCCTGAAAATTCAGTAGAAGTTCACGACAGTGAGGAAAGCTTTCTGAACGCCATTCACTTGGGAGTGGCCAAAAACGATTATTTTATATATGATTCAAGCAGCTCACTACATCCGGTCTTAGATCGGGTATCCTTTGGGTGGCCAAAACACATACGTTTAAGAGCGAGSTAAAGTGAGAAGGCGAACACATCCWTCTCCAGGGTTGWACGCTGAGTTAGGGACCCGYCACGTAAAAAATACCATCGATGAAAAATAGAAAACAGSCTCGGATAAGAAACCTCCCTCAATGCCTAACACTGCAAACGTAATATTGATTATGATTTAAGCGCAAGCAGCTGGAATGTTTGGCTCTTTAATTGTGAGGTTGCTACTGCCCAGCTGGTTGATTTCCTCATTAGAGTATGTGCTGACTGACATCGCCGCGTCCAAGAAGTATGATGAACGCGAAAAGGGCTGAGACGAGTTGGTTTTACAGTGGACATATAAAGGGGCGTAAATTTGGTGTGGGAGTGGGTCCTGGCATCCACCCCCGGTAGATAAACATCTAGCCACAATCCGCAACAAAGCGAAGTTCTTCAACTTATCGCTGATTKGCGCCTACACGCCAAACGGAGAGAAGAAGGATATGATGAAAGAATTATTTTCTACTTGACTCGGACTCCTGCTCTGTAAGAGCGCTTACGAGTATCAGCAACTCGTTAAATGGGAACTGTATTATGGCATTTCAAGCTCCTTACGTACAGCTACGTAGAGCAAATTTACGCACAAGTATTGGAAGCCTACTCTGACTTTAACGCTACTAATATTATTAGCATACCATATTTAAGCTTTTCCGACACAATTAAATTAGGAAATGTACTTTTTATCTACCGAAACTGAAAACTTGTAATTACATTAATATTGGTGAATATTATAACTGTTTTTGGCGAAATTAAGAAATACAAATCAAATAAAATCATCACTACAACGGCAGGCTGCCAAACTTAAAGATGTACCAGCTCATATTGGTGAATGGTGATGCATACTGAGTAACACAAAATGAACTGCGGCCTTCACTGACTTTGCACTCCAACTAAAGGAACCTGGTATGACCTTCAAATCCTTGTTGTAACTGTGTAACAAACATTCTTTTAGAAATAAATCAAGAAATATAAATTTATAATTTTTAAAGAAATACCTGATACCGAACTACAAGTAGCGTAGTCAATCAATATCCGCATTGTTGTTCTGTAATACATTTTTGGCGAGAATCAATGTAAGTGCATATAGCGGGTTTTCGAAAAGGGATTTTTTCATTGTATTCAGTAATGTTTATACCTTCAACATGGCAGAATAAAAGCAAGAATAACGTCAACTGCAAACATTTTCWTAGCATAATGTTCAGTTGCCAATTATACAAAGAACTACTCGAAGTAAAGAAAATATTGCAGCTGTTGGGACAAGTGTTGCTGAAGACCGCAATTTGTCGACTCCAAGACGTTTTTAAGAATGGTTGGATTTTGAGAAAGCATTTGGGCTTGCAACCGTATAAAAGAGTTCGCAATCAAGAATTAAAGCCGTTGGACCACCGTAAACGTGCTAAATTTGTTTATTTGGCTTGAACACGACAACGAGAACGGATTTTTTAAGAAAATCATCTCGGATGAGGCTCACTTTCATCTGAAAACTGTCGATTCTGGTGCGAACAAACCCCACAAATTATTCATGAACAACCATTACATGCAACTCAATTAACAGTTGTGGTGTGATTTTTGGTCTGGTGGAATCATCGCTTCGTAATTCGTTCGAAGTGAAGCTGGTGACACCCTTACTGTCAATGGAGAGCAGTATAGATCGTTGATAATCAAATTTTTAATGAAAGTAGTTGATCTTGTCAACATCTGATTCCAAAAAGACCGCACTATGTGCTACACAGCATAGTTTAAGATATGGTTACATTGAATCGCCTCCAAGAAGTTGTGATTGAACATGATTAGACTAGTGGGGCTTATTTGAAGTCAATGGTCTTTAGCAATAAATYAGACTCTSTTAAAGCTTTAGAAGTCAATATTGATCGAGCTATTCATGACACAAGACTTGATTTAGAGGAAAAAGTACTCGAAAATTGGCTTACTCGAATTTGTTGCTCCGATGGAAGTCGTGGAGGACATTTAATGATGTTTTATTCAGAACTTAAAAAAAAAAAAAAAAAAAAAAAAAAAAAAAAAAAAAAAAAAAAAAAAAACAAAAAAACAAAAAAAAAAAAATTGCGCTTCTGTAACACATAGTGTGTGTTTTTTAGAAAATAAATCCTATCACTCATATTGGAAAACCCTGTTTTATTATGCCTAGTTAGCTTCTAGGAAAAATTAAACATTTAGAAGGTATAATGCATAAAAAGGTTAGTGAATTCCCAAAAGGTAGGATGCATTAACAAAAATTAACTCATGTGAGCCTTCTTGGGTTAAACATGTAAGCATACCATAGTCATTATACATACGAACAGCCACATGCACACACACAGCAATTTATAACATGTTGCTTATATGTATGATTATGACATTTTACTATACAATGGGTTATTGTAAGTAAGGAGCTTTTGTAAATTTAATTCATAAAACTCACAAATGCTCGCAACCTCTGTGCGTTGTAGTCTCATATGGTATGTACGCCGCAAAGTATGCTATGCATATTGTATATGCACCAAGCCCTACTTATAGGACGAACAGCCGATTTCACACGAAGCGYTTGAGAAAGCTTTCGCCGCCAAGATACACACACACGCACACAGATMCTTACACACATGTTGGGTGAGCATTGCGCTGAAGCTTTTCCATGCGGTGCTGATTGTATATTATACATATATGTATACTCTAATCGGTCGGCAAAGTTTTTCGTCCTTCTGCTCGCGGCATGATAACGACACGACGCCAGCATATGACGACAGTCGACAGGTGTTGGCTAATGCCGAGTGACGCTACAAATATTCAGTTATTCAGCGTACGCGTACGTGTTCGGTTCGTTCATTGTATACGCGGAAAATTGTATTTGGTGCGGTAATATACATATAAAAGCGAAGTGTAAAGTGTGACAATTTTTACAAATAACGTGTCTTTCACCCTTGTCCACCACAAATAGAAGCTTTCGGTTTATTTGCTTGTTGCTGCGTGAATTTGCGTGCATGTGTGAGCGTGTCTGTTTTTGGCAATTGACGATGCAAATAACTTTGCCTATGAGAACAACTATATACATATGTACTATATATATATATGTGTAGCTGTAAATATATATAAGAGTATAATAGTTAGTGCATGGAAAGCTGTTGCTGTGCGTGCGTCTGTTTTTTCACAGTTACATATAAGCAGAAAACCCGGATTATTAACGCATAGTTCAAAACTTATGGTTTTCGAAAACAAAATRAACGAGCTTAAAGTTCTGTTTTTCTAAAAGTTGAATAATAATGTGCTTAAGCTTAGAATATACATATCARGTTGAAAAATTAAAAACCAGAAATGGTTGAWAGACACCTCTAAGAAAGGCTTTCGAGGTATGACCTCTTAACTGTAACGGGAAAAAACATTTTTTTATCGCTTTCAACTTGAAAAATTATTTCTTTTTTAGGATCTTGTAAGGAAATCGTATGCGCTTAAAAAAGTGTTGTTTTTCGTAAATATAACAGTTTAAAAGACATTYACGACTAAAGTTTGATTATTTTATAGAACAAAGTGATTTTCTTATGAATGTTATACCTGAACGTAATGAGTTATTACAGCTCGAAACCTCTCGGTTTTTTAGGAAATTTACTGCTGATATTACTCCTAAAAATCTAATAAAGATAAATTCATTATTTTTTCAAATTTTTTCATTAAGGGGTTACATGGGTTTTCTTGGGCAAAAAACGGYCTTTTTTCAATATTTTTTTTACATTTATAAAATGAAATATTTTAATGCAATTTTTTTTATTTTTAAAAGACTTATATTTAATAAACATTTTGTAAAATTTTCAAAAAAAAAAATATGAAAATGGCAGTCATTACGACGCCATTTCCGGCAGTCCCGCGGAAAAAAGGTGCACCCGGCTTGTCAGCAGAACTTCTTTCAGGATCATCTCAAATAGAAATAAAAAATACGTGTTTTAGTAAAGACAATAAACTAGGTATTGGACGAAGGAAAATAAAGAATAGTGAAAATTGGATTTTTGACAGACGTTTTTATAAAAAAAAAATTCAAATTTCGATGAACATTTCTCGACATTTTTTTTTTTAAATAGTTGTATTTAAAAAAAAAAAAAAGACCTTGTAAATGATATCTCGAAGATCTGTGTAAAATTTCGTCAATATCGGTTAATTAGTTCGCGGGAAATCTTGTCAACCGACTTTAAAAACATATGTAGTTTTGAGAAAAACGCGTTTAAAGTCTTACCTACTGCGCCCTCAGCCTATACCTGACCTCGAGCGTCCACCTTTTCAAGGTTGTATCTCCGAAACTATTAGTCGGATCAACTTGAAAATTTAGAGCAATATTCTACAGATGTTATAGAATTTAATAAGACACAAAATTTCGATTTTTTGAAACTGTGAAATCCATGTAACCCCTTAAATGAAAGCTTTTATTTGTACGTTCTGTTCATTAACTTCCTGCTATTTTGAAAATAAATTCATACAGAAACGCTCGCCTCTATTGGAGAGCTTTTCTAATGTCAATTTTTTAMCAGCAAAATCATTCGCCCTTAGCAAGCGCAAATAGTATTCACTTGGCCAGGTCTAAATTCTCAGCCGATTTTCCGTAGCTTTTTTCGATTAATGATCGAAATGTTGGGGTCTGGCGCTTTCCTGTTGTAACACAATTATTCTCCTACATACTAGCCACTTCCGGGCGATAGCTACCTTCGGTCAGTCCAATTGTTGTCCAATAAAGGTCCGAAATAAGAGTGGGACTGTACGGAGGCAATTCATGTTAGCTGATGCCTTGCCAATCTATGTAAACACATAGCAAAACTTTCCTCACCCTTAATGCTGTCTTGGCTGCTGTTTTTGTCGGCTCACTGATATTTAACATTGACGATTTTTGCATGATGTTGTTATAAGTGAACCACTTTTCATAACTTCTTCTTCTTAACTGGCGTGGACACCGCTTATGCGTTTATAGCCGAGTTAACAACAGCGCGCCAGACGTTTTTTCTTTTCGCTATGTGGCGCCAATTGGACATTCTAAGCGAAAATATATTGACTGTCTGTCCGTCTTGAGAGTAAGAATTGAGATATATAAATGCGCATTCATGGCAAAAAAAAAAGTACGTAGATGAGCGTAATCCAGCCACTGCCACGCCCACAACCTATAAAGTGCAATAACTTAGCACTAAATTAAGATATAGAAATGTAATTTGCTACAGGGGATCGCCAGCCACTTAAGCTTTAACAACCGCATTCGCCTAGCGTAACAATTTAAAAGAAGTACAACAGTGTGAAAATGGATGACACCGGATGGTAACCCTTCTCACTCTCCTTATAATGTTACTGCTAAAAACTACTATATTATTTTGAAGCCATTCTGTTGAAGAACTACGTTGTACAGGGAAAATTACTTGCCGTTGTATCACTAATCTTTCTCAGAGGATGTATAGAAAGAATAAGATTCCTAGTAAGAAAACAGTTGAACCAATTGCAGAAACTACATTTCAGCCGCTATAAGAATCTGGGTAATCTGAATATCGACGATGTTGAAGGTGGAATGTTAGGCTTACACCCATAAATATAATAATAAATTAAATGTTTAATCATTTAGGAGTTAAAACTAATCCTTTGAATAAAGGGTATCAGTGAACAAATCTTGCTATAATAGCGAATACTGCTCGCATAGATAATAAGTAAAAGAAAATGAGCTACTACATAATATACATATCGTGAATTCTGTTAATCCTCTTACTGTAAAAAATAATACAAGGCCTAGGGCTGGAGAGTAGTTTAATTGTGTACCATGGAGTATGACTAATCAACTGAAAAATTTAATTCCTGTAGGTACAGCAATAATTATTGAATAATTGTAATTATTGTAGCTGAATAAAGATATATATCTACATCTGTTTCTACTGTTAATATGTGCTGAGCTCATACAATGACTCCTAGGAATCTAATTGCTATTATAGCATAAATTATTCCTAGGGATCCTAATGATTCCTTTTTACTTGATTGTTGACTAATAATATGAGAAATTATTTCAAATCCTGGCAGAATTAAAATATAAACTTCTGTATGTTCAAGAAATCAAAACTAAATATAGTTATAAAATAGGGGCTGCTCTTCCAGTTCTGGCGTTAATCTATACAAGTTGCAAGAGTATGAAATGTTCGGTTATACTCGAACTGGGCTCTTTCTTACTTTCTACAATACAACTTGAGCTATTCCTATATAATTCTCTATAAACATGGTGTTGGAACTTATATTTTYAAAAGTTTTAGTTTTTGATTTTTGGTTCTCTGATTTTTATATGACGGGTTGGTATTTGGACAGAACAAAATCAATAGTCAAACAGTTTTGTGAAAATTAATTATCAAATCTATATCAGCTATGCAATTTACTTGTATAATGCTTTTTCCATTAAATGAGAGCTGGAATATCCCGTTTAGTGACATATATGTGTAGTCAAACCGGGTGATTATAATTAATTTTTGATACCTGTAGGTACGGCAATAATTATTGTTGTCGAAATGAAGTATGCTCAATCGCTATTATAGCATAAATTATTCCTATAGAACCGAAAGTTTCCTTTTACCCCGTTTMTTGGCTAATAATATGAGAGAAAGAACTGGAATATCGCGTTTAGTGACACCTATGTATAGTCAAACCGGGTGATTATAATTACATGTAATGAATGGAATTTTTTTTTTAAGAAAATTATATTTCATGCAGAACGAAACATTTACGTAAAAGAAAGGGTTAAGTTTAACGCGAAATTTCCTATTTAACTATTACGCGGTTGTTCGCGTGTATGTAAGTTTGCATGTGAGTGAGCGCCTTTTATTTACTTTATCAGCATTGTAAACACGCGCGTGTAAATAACATCAACTCTCCTTATACCTTATATTTGCATATATTATTTTAGCATTCAGTTTAGCAATTTATCAATTCTTTTGTCGACATAGTCGATTTCCAATTAAAATTAATAGTTATTGCAATTTTAATCAATACTAATCGAAGCTTTGCGCTTTTTCTTTTCGCTTSACATTTATTATTATTTTTTCTCTTTGCTTAGTGATTTTGCTGCATTTTTGCGGTGCAGTGCAAATAAACCRTTGGAAAATGTAAATTTGTCGTGACTTTCACATTTGAAAGCAATTAAATGYAAATAATATATTTGTCCGGACCACACAGAAGAGCATATAAAACCTATTATTYGAGCGTAGAATCAGCACTCTTCAAAGGTAAGTAATGCATATTGTATTATAGATATGTATATGGGGTTAAGAAGTTGAAAAGCAAATGCGAAACTAAAGCTTATATAGTGTTAGATTTATAACATTACGATACGGCCCTGAGTACGGTTCTCATCGGTCCAGAAAAACCACTTATAAAGCTTAACTTCAGTGCATAGCATAACCCCAAAAAATACGTTTGGGATGGTTAGTATTAATGCGGAATAGTAATCAAATGGTATCACAATTACTCGGCAACCTGAACCAATTACCAAGAGYAKATTCGCATCGCGTAAATTAWATRTATTGGATAGTCGAAAAATACTTTTCGTATTTCTAATCAAACYTCAACTAATTTTKTTTKTATTTAWATWAATAAATAAAYAAACAAAAATGTAATAYTTTGTTCGATATCTTTTTACAATTTTCCACTAGATACATTATTCCATCAGTGTAAAACTTTCATCATTGTAAATTGTAATTTCGAAATTTCCAGAACGGACACGAGCGAAGTATAGTTGTGCTACACGAACYGATGCAGCATCSTCTMCGYAAACTTCCCAAATTTCATTGGTGGCTTTCGTGGCATTTTTCCCTTTTTATACAAAATATAATAAYCTTCAAAATAGCGAATTTCTTTATTATTTTCACCCACGCTTCAATATATTTCCACCCCAACGTTCCGATGTATGTATGTTCAAAAATTCCTCTTATCAAAAATAACAATATTCAATATTATGTTATGTATAATGACGACCAGAATACTTCTTCTCTTTACTGACGTAGACATCGCGTACGCGGTTGTAACCCAAGTTCCGACATATGACGAAGTGGTGGTGTGTGTAGATCTTCCTTTCACGCGTCTTTTCCAAAATTTGACGCATGGTCACTTGTTGATTTTCCAGGCCTGAAGCCAAACTGCTGAGGTCCAATCAGTTGGTSGGCTTTAGTCTATCACACAGTTCGCTCGATAGAACCTTATAAGCGATGTTGAGGAGGCTAATTCTGTGGCAGTTGACRCGAATGGTGGGGTCTCCCTTTTTGTAGAGGAACACACTTATATTCCAATCGTCGGACATGCTTTCGTCCGACCATGTTTTTCAAAGAAGCTGATGCATGCTCTTATCAATTTTTCGCCGCCGTATTTGAATAGCTCGCCCGGCAATCCGTCGGCTCCCGCCGCTGTTGTTTTTCCGATGGGTGATTGGTATTCGAACTTCTTCCTGGAATCGGGTTCGCCTTCTCCGCCGCGTTTCATCCATTGCAACATATCGTCGCAAAAACTCTGGTTTATTACGCCTTAACATCTCCAAACACTTACCCGAAACATCAACTCGTCGTCGTTTTGGTCAAAAGTGAGYTCGCGTGGTATCCACTTTGCAGAGAGCTTTCTCATACTCAATGATTCGTGATATCACGTTCACTTGATATGTTTCTCACTTCACTTTACGGACATCCTGTAAAACTGTTTTAGGGACTTTTTTAATGTTTTCATCGGTAACAACCACTCTTGGGCGTCCGCTGCGCTCACAGTCTTCTGTGCTACGGTATTACCACTATACAAATAATAATTGATAGTTGGTTTACCTAATTTAAGTTTTTACTTCAAATAATAAATTTTGTAAAGATTTTTCCAGGCGTCGAAAACTCCAATAAGTGAAAGGATGGTTGTTTATGAGTTAGTCCTGCAACATGTACTTAAATTTTCAACCCTTTGAAGAAAAAGCTTACTTTAGTAAAGAACAACGCATATAAAATTACTAAATAAATAGTACTGCCCATGCAGCTCAACATGAATTCCTAAATGTGAAATGTTCGGTTAAATTTTCCAATTTTCTGAAATTATAGTGAAGCTTGATGCCTTGATAGAGAGTTTTGTATTACAACCGCGTAATGAAGCCAAATTAGCTGGCAAACAGATATCTGAGTAGCAAAACAACAGCAGCATCAACAACAACAACCACAATAACAACAAGGGCATAAAACAATAGAAAACGGTGGCGGTGGTGGTTATAATGGCTGTTTTATGGGCAACAAATTTATATMACGGTTTCACTGAACACACCTACTTATAAAACACAAACAAAAAGCATGCAKATGGCTTACCTGTTTGCTATACCTTCTGGCCAATTGTGTGTATATAGTTATTTTTCGTTTCGGTTTTTGTTGTTGTTTTCGTTCTGAGTTCTGTTTGTGCACGCTGTCATACCATCATTGCATAATTTCGTTCGTTAATTAACAGCGTCGATGTTTACGCTCGCACATACACACACAAACGGACAAGTGTGTTGGTATTTTATTTCTATGAAAATTCCCATAAATTATTGTTAGCACAGGATCACAATGAAAATGGTAAACGGCAGAAATGCTGAGCCATCAACTGGTGTGTATATTGCTGCCCTGTAGGGATGCTTTATGCCCAGTAGGAATTTTGCGAGTTGCACGCACATGGGTGGGAAGGACGGCATTTTTAGTGGCAACTTGTTGGATTTCACTTTGCAGTTTGGAATAATTTTTTACACGATTTACACTTTATTAATTTCACTTATTATTTTTTTTTTTTAAGAAATTTTACTCTTTAAACGCTTAATTGCACTTTATTACACTTTATGAATTTTATTTCTAGAGAGATTTCAATATATAAACTTTTAATTGCACTTTTATTTTAATTTTTTATTATTTTTTTTATAACTGCAGTTTTGTTGTGGTTCACTTCGACCTGTCTCTTATACACATCTAACTGGCGTGGACACCGCTTATGCGTTTATAGC